GGATTCTCTCGGTCAACCTGGAGAAGCGCCAGATTCGTCTGACTCTGAAGAAGAGTCTCTTGAACAGCGAGTCCGCTATCTGGAAGGACTACAAAGACATTACCCCTGGATCGCAGTCTCCAGGTACTATTGTCAGCATCAAGTCTCATGGTGCAGTGGTTCAGTTCTATGGTACCATCCGCGGTTTCCTTCCTGTCTCGGAGATGAGCGAGGCTTACATCAGAGATCCGTCGCAGCACTTCAGACAAGGTCAGGTTGTCAACGTGCATGCACTCAGTGTGGATGCCTCGCTTGAAAAACTCGTGGTGTCTTGCAAAGATCCTTCGACTTTTACCGAAACCTACAAGGAGGCCTTCGAGAAGATCCACCCTGGCTTGCTCGTTTCGGGTACCGTTTTCGAGAAGTCCAGCGATGATATGCTCCTCAAACTGGACGAGTACGGCCTTGTGGCTAGACTTAACCTCGAACATGTTATCGACGGTTCTCCCTCGAAGCAGGCTTCGACTCTTTCGAAGATCCGCGTCGGTCAAAAGCTTAACGAGCTCCTTGTTCTCGACATCCAACGGGCCCATAGGCTCATCAAGGTTACCGGCAGACAATCCCTCAAGAAAGCTGTCAAGCAAGGTTCCATGCCTGGTTCCTTTGAAGATCTCAAGGAGGGCGCTGAGGTCACTGGCTTTGTCCGCAACATCGCCCAGACTGGTTTGTTCATCGAGTTCATGGGTGGTCTGATTGGTCTCGTTCCCAAGCGTCTCATCGCCGATGAGAATGTGAACAAGCCCAGCTACGATATGGTTAGGTCACAAGTTGTCACTGCGACGGTCCACTCGCTCGACGCTGATTTCAAGCGATTCATCTTGAGCATGAAGCCCTCTGAAGCCACCCGCGCTGGCGCTAAGAAGCCCGCCGCCAAGCCCGCTCCTACCAACGATGCAGTTACCAATGCTATCGATGAGAGCATCACCTCGATGTCTGACTTCACCTTCGGAAGAATCGTCAAGTGCAAGGTCGTTTCCGTCCGCGCAACTCAAGTCAACGTTCAGCTCGCCGATAACATTCAGGGTCGGATTGACGTTTCTGAAGCATTCGACAAGTGGGAGGATATCAACGACCGCAAACAACCTCTTCGTTCCTTCCGACCTAAGCAGGAGATTGAGGCCAGGATCTTGGGAGTCCACGATGCTCGCAATCACAAATTCCTTCCCATCAGCCACCGTACCGGAAAGTTCCCCGTCTTCGAACTTTCCATCAAGCCAAGCTTCTTGAAGGCCAGCAACCCCACCCCGCTCAACTTGGAGCAGGTCCAGAATGGCTCGTCCTGGGTGGGCTTTGTCAACAACGTCGCGGACAACTGCCTTTGGATCAACTTGTCTCCCAATGTCCGTGGAAGACTGCGCCTCATGGATGCTTCGGATGATCTTTCCCTCCTGGCTGATGTTGATAAGCATTACCCTATTGGCTCTGCCGTCAAGGTGCATGTCACGGCAGTCGACGCTGAGAAGGGTCGTCTTGACTTGTCTGCCAGACAGCGTTCTGATAAGCTCTCATTCGATGACATTTCGACTGGTATGATTCTGCCCGGTAGGGTCACCAAGGTGACCGAGAGACAGGTCATCCTGCAACTCAGCGACTCGATCGTCGGTGCGGTCGATTTGATTGACATGGCAGACGACTACACGAAAGCCAACCCTACCGTCTACCAGAAGAACGAGGTTCTCCGTGCCTATGTTGTGAGCGTCGATAAGGACAAGAAGAAGATCTCCCTTTCCACGCGCCCATCAAAGGTTCTGAGCTCGGGTCTACCCGTGCAGGACAAGGAGATCACTTCCATCAAAGACCTCGCCGTCAACGATGTGGTCCGTGGCTTCATCCGCAGAGTCGCCGATAACGGTCTCTTCGTGACTGTTGGCCATGGCGTCACTGCCTACGTCCGTGTCTCTGACCTCTCGGACTCCTATCTCAAGGAGTGGAAGGATTCCTTCCAGAACGATCAACTGGTCAAGGGTCGTGTTACTGTGGCCGATGCCGAGCAAGGCAAGCTGCAGATGAGCTTAAAAGAGTCGGTCTTGGATCCCAACTACAAGGCCCCGCTCACCCTTCACGACCTTAAGCCTGGTCAGGTCGTTACAGGAAAGATCCGCAAGGTGCAAGATTTTGGTGCTTTCATCGTCATTGACGGCTCCGCCAACATCAGTGGTCTTTGCCACCGCAGTGAAATGGCTGATAAGCGTGTTGATGATGCTCGCACTCTCTACGAGGAGGGTGACGCTGTCAAGGCGGTCATCTTGAAGATTGACCGTAAGCAAGAGAAGGTCTCTTTCAGCCTTAAGGCTTCATACTTCAACGACGAGGATGAAGATGAAGATGAAGACAGCGAAGAAGACGGCGACGAGTCGGAGGGCGTCAGCCTCGATGGCTTTGGTGGAGTTGATGTCGAGGACAGTGATGGGGACAGCGATGTGTCCATGGGTGGAGTTGATGTCGACGATGTTGAGGACAGTGGAAGCGAGAGCGAGGATGAGTCCATGGATGAAGCACCTTCCGCTCAACAAGGAGGACTCGGTGCAAACGCCTTCGACTGGAACGGCAACTCCAAGGACACGGAGGAAGCGGTGGAGTCCGATTCCGACTCAGATGCTGAGTCTCGCCCTAAGAAGAAGAAGAACCGCAAGCCTGAGATTCAAGTTGACCGAACCGGCGATTTGGATGCCAATGGACCTCAGTCTGTGGCCGACTACGAGCGATTGCTCCTTGGTGAGCCTGATTCTTCGGTTCTTTGGCTGCAGTACATGGCCTTCCAATTGGAGTTGGGTGAGGTCGAGAAGGCCAAGGAGATCGCCGAGCGTGCCCTCCGCACCATCACCATTGGACAAGATGCCGAGAAGTTGAACATCTGGGTTGCAATGCTGAACTTGGAGAACACCTACGGCACTGAGGACTCCTTGGAGGAGGTCTTCAAGCGCGCCTGCCAATACAACGACACTCAAGAGGTCTATGAACGGTTGATCAGCATCTACATCCAGTCCGGGAAGAACGAGGTTAGTATATCCTTCGAAGATGATCTTGGTTTGCCACATTTTGCTAATGACCCCCGATTCACAGAAAGCGGACGAGCTCTTCCAGACTGCCCTCAAGAAGAAGGTCTTCGCGTCCTCGAAGTTCTATGTCAACTACGCCAGCTTCCTGTTCGACACCATGGCTGATCCCGAGCGTGGCCGCGCCCTGCTTCCCCGCGCCCTGCAGTCACTGCCCTCCACCACCCACGTGGAGACGACCTCCAAGTTCGCGCAGATCGAGTTCCGGTCCGAGAACGGCGACGTCGAGCGCGGACGCACCGTGTTCGAGGGCCTTCTGTCCTCGTTCCCCAAGCGCGTCGACTTGTGGAACATCCTTCTGGATCTGGAGATCAAGAACGGCGACGCTGAGCAGGTGCGCCGCTTGTTCGAGCGGGTGCTCGGCATCCGGGATAACAAGAAGGGCGGCCCGGCCATCGAGGCTAGCAAGAAGGTTCGCCCGAAGCAGGCGCGCTTTTTCTTCAAGAAGTGGCTGGCGTTTGAGGAGAAGCTTGGTAATGACAAGATGGTCGAAGATGTCAAGGCCAAGGCCGCGGAGTACATCAAGGCAGTGCAGCAGGAGTAAAACAAGTACTAGGTGCCGTCCATGGAAGGCGGGTATTATCCAGGGGTTACGGGACATTAAGGAATTCTTTTGTATATACATAAAAAGCCAATTTTGCAATAAGGATATTGTCTTTTCACTCTTCACACACCGACCAAACTCCGCTCCCAAGTAGAAAATGGTAGTAATTCCAAGCCAATCACTCAGGCTGCCTTCCTCTTCTCGGCCATCAACCGTCTATATTCCTCGACGATATTGCGTCTCTCCGTCGCCAACTCCTCACGGCGCCTCAGACTGCCCACCGCCGCCGGCACGTTGGCGACATCCACCCGGGCGCCGCCGCGAATCTTGAAGACCTCCCTGGGCTTGGTCAGCTGCGGCGGCGCCTGCACGACATCCAGGGGATTGAGCTGTTTATTCACGCGCTCGCGCTTGTTCAACTTGGCCCACGGATCCGGATCATCATCCACCGTATCTGCCGTGCCATCCTTCCGCTTCTTATTCCCGGACCCCTTCTTCTTGGCCTTGCGCTTGCCGGCCTCGGCCTCCCACGTCTTCCACAGCTGCAACTGCTCGTCCATCTCCTCCTCGCGCTCCTCGCGCTGCGCCCGCTCCTTCTCCACAATCTCCGCCTCCTCCTTCCGCCACATGGCCTGCAGCCGCAGCAGATGCTTCTCATGCTTCGTGACCTTATGCTCGCGGATATTCGCCAGCTCCGCCGCCGCGGGCTTATTCGAGCGCTTCATCGCAGACAGCGGCATCTCCCGGTTCACACGCGCCGCGAAATCCGACAACTTCTCCCCCGGCATAATCTTCGGTGCTGCTACCGCCGCCGCCGCCGCCGTCGTCATCGCATCCGTCGACCCAGCTTCCGGCGCCGTTGCCGTTGCCGTGGCCATCTTCTTCTTATTTTTCTGGGCGTTACCACCAGCATCCCCCTCGCCGCGCTTCCGCTTCTTATTACTCTTGCTAGTCGGAACAACATCCTCCCCGTCGTCGTCGTCGTCATCATCATCATCACTATCCCCATGATTCTTATTCCTCTTGGCAGCAGCCGCCACCGCCGCCTGCGCCTGTGATTGCTGCCGCTGCATTAAGCGCCGGAACGCGCGCGGGGTGTCATCGTCATCGAAGGCGGATTTGGCGCGGGAGGTGGCCGCCAGCGCCGCGGCGGCATTTTTGGGAGTCGGCTTGGTGGCCTTCTGGGGCTGCTCTTTGCGCGGGGCACCGCCGGGTTTCTTGCGGTTGTGATTCTTGGGTCCCCCGGTTTTGGCGGTTTTGGTGGTAGCGCTGGCCGGGTCGCGGACGGGGAGGGATTTGGCGATTCGCGTGGGGGGGAGGTCGTATGTGCTGTTTTGACGGCGTTAGTCCTGGGGTTGAGGGGGATTGTGATTTGGATTGGGTGGGAGCTTATTGGTGAGAGGACTTACTCGGCGTCTTTTTGTCTGCGTTTGTGTTTGTGAGGCATCTTGATGTGCGGTCGTTCCAATCCGAGGGGATTGGTTTGGTGGTGGTTGGTTGTTGGTTGTTGGTGGTGGAGAGAGAGGAATCGGAGTCGGATCGGGGAAATGAGATGGGACGAAACTTTTTTTTACCTTTGCGGGCGGAGGAGGAGGAGGAGCGCGGCGTATCTTATCGCCGTGGGAGGTGATAAGAGATCATCATCCACTTTACTGTACTTGCTAGGTGTAGTTACAACTCTATAGTATCGTCTGGTTTCAGTTGGATAAGATCATTTGTTTAAAGGATTTGTATCTACAAGACTCAGCTACATACTGATCATCTGAGGCAGGATAAAGCAATAACTGTGGTTGTAGACTCTGTGTTCTGGTATTGTGCTTGGAATTGAACGGCCTCATGCTTGCCGAATGCGGTAAATACTTAGCCTGCGGACTAGACCAACCCACCTATTCATTTTTTTCTGTATTACAGTCCATCTCAATGAAGTGAGCTATGAAAAGGTGTCTAAAGTTCATCTTTCCCTCCAAGTAGCGACATTCGGCTTGACTTGCCTCGTCCGATCAGTATCCCGGTAAAACAGATTTCGGGAGAGATGGTCTCCATGCAACGCTTCCAGGCTCCCCAATTCAAGCTCATGCTGTTGCCTAAGCCGTCCTACCCACAAGTGCATGTCCGCAGAGCATCTCGCAGAACCTCTCCCACGACGAGTGACAAATCCCTAGCCCTGCTGAGTCTTAGCCGGCTTCTCCTCAAATCGGAATGTCCGAGATGAATGACATCTGGATGGAAACCCTTGCAAAGAAAGGCTTGTTGGTTTTTCCTCGTAGGGTTGGGAGATTCATGCAAGGGCGGGGGAGGGAATACCCTCCAACTCCATCGGGGCGAGTCTCGGACATTTTCCCATCCTCGTTCTCGTTTTCTGTCCAGTGCCACGATGCCGTCGGGAGACCGGGATGACTTACTGGTAAACACAAACCCCTCAATGCGCCCCCACAATTGATGAATGGAAAGGTGGATAGGCAGCAGCACTCTGCTACTATCCTGAGGGCAAAACGAGGGTATCGTTAGCGTCCCTGGAACCCTGGTGGTAGTGGTAATGGTGGTGGTGGTGGTGTACCACGCCCGTATAGCATTGAACTACTTTAGCGGGAGGGCACTTGCTGAGAGTAACTCAACTATATGAATGTCGCCATCCTCAGGGCCCATGCAGTGATTGGCAGGAAAACTCAAGAGAAAGGTTATTTAGTGTAAGCACTGAGATTCACCACCGCTGACGGGCTGAGACTTGACAAGTTAAGTCCACCGTCCAGTAGCCCTAAATCCCCGATCGAGGCAAAGTCGGGATTCCAGACTCTTTAAGGCTGTCCCTGAGTGTGTTCATGTGATGGCCCTTCTTTTCCTAGCGTCCTTTTTGCGCAGGTAACTGCTTTTGGCTCGGGGGCTTTTTTTTTCTTTTCTGTGTATGAATTTTTGGGTTTATTGCCCGAGGGGTTGGGTGAGTGTGAATGGTTGGTGAGTGGTGAGTGGTAGTTAAGTTGGAGAAGATCGTGCAGCGCGGAGAGAGAAAGAGAGGCCGGGGGCGTGTGTCTCAGGGTTCAACCTTTGCTGATTTTTTTTCTTTTTTTTTGGACTTTTTGGTTTTTCTTTATGGTTCAATATAGGCAGCAGAATTGCACGAGGATGAGAAAGACCATGTTGTTGTCTAGTGGAGAGGACTGGCACAATATGAAGATACTCACCCATGCACAGTACTCGAATAGTTTTACACGCTGGATCCAATCAATCGGACCACCTCCTTCAGGGTCTGGGTCCGATTAGCGGAGTTCTTTTTACAGTTCCAGTTTACCGGACTGTGCATGTCCAGTAAATCAGAGTTTGGCCTCCTCCTCCTCCAATGACAACCTCGCTCCCAGCACATGGGCTGTCCGATTTAGCCGTGAAGACACAGAACGCCTTTCTTTAAATTGAAGAGAACAGAATAACTAAACCTCATGATCTGCTCTTGTTGTTTCTCTGCTGCTTGTGGGTGTAAAGAAGGCTATGATGAGATGTGAATGACTCGGACTGGCAGACTGTCTGACTGACTCTTGCTCACTGCATTGCATAACTACTTCACTTGCAGTCTTGACTTTCAACCTTGAACTCTTCTACTCCCTCCTTCCCTGCCCACCACAACTACACTTCTTTTCCTACAACACAACCACCATCACCACCATCCTGTCTACAGGACAGGGAGGCAGGCTAGCAAGAGATACAACTCTTTGCGATTTACTCTTGTATCTCTACACCTCTACTGTTACTTGGCTGATCTGCCCTCACCTTCCCCGCATTCTTTCTGTTCCTCACCATCACCACCACCGATGTTGACCCCCACCGAGCGCTACCAGCAGATGGACCACCATCCTTGGGTGAGCGATTTCCACATGGACACCAAGAGCCCCAGCATCGCATTCAGCGAATTTGATCCCGAGGCCGACCCTGAGCGATCTCAGGGATTCCGTCGCAAAGACCAACATCCACCGTCTTTGTGGATGCGGGGACTGGGTCTTATCGCCGGCTTGATTGTTGCACCTCGCGATAAACGGGCCGAGGCAGCTCGTCCTCTGCTTGGCTCGTCCTCCTCCTCCGCCTCTTCTTCCTCCGCCACTCTTTATCCCAATTCATCTGTGCGACAGTTTCCCAAACCCAGATTTCTGCTTCGTTGTCTGCTTTACCCGATCGCCGGTTTCTTGATCATGCTGTAAGCCAATCCCTCACTCCAAATGCGAACGAACACCTGAACTCATTCACCGCCAAACAGAGGCATTGTGCAATTTATCTCCATCGCCTGCGGCATAGTTATCGCATTTTTCCCCAGCGAACTCGACCGTGCAACCGAGCGGTGGCAATCGCACAGCACAACCCAGTCTATCGACCTGTCCCACTGGCCCACCGATGCCTCCCGTGACATCATCCCCGTGGCCTGCCACTCGCACAACGACTACTGGCGTCCCGTGCCGTTATTCTCCGCCATCCAGGCCGGCTGCATCGGCGTCGAGGCCGATGTCTGGCTGTTCGACGAGGAGCTCTACGTGGGCCACACCACCTCAGCGCTGACTCCGAAGCGCACCCTGCGTAGTCTGTACATCGACCCCCTGCTCCGGGTCCTCGAACAGCAGAACCCGCTCACCGAGTTCCACCCCCACCGCCAACGCCCCCTCCAGGGCGTCTTCGACACCGACCCCGCCCAGACACTGGTGCTGCTGATCGACATCAAGACCGACGGCCAGGACACCTGGAACCAAGTCGCTGCCCAGCTGACTCCGCTGCGTGAACGCGGCTACCTCACCTACTTCAACGGCACCGCCCTCATCCCCGGCCCGCTCACCGTCGTCGGCACGGGCAACACCCCCTTCAGTCTCGTCACCGCCAACACCACCTACCGGGACATCTTCTTCGATGCGCCGCTCAACCTACTCACCGAGAACGCAGCGGAGGGAGCCACGGACGCCGCTTCGCCAAGTGAGCAACAATCGCACGACCAGCTCCCTCAAGCCCTGGCCGCCGCCCCCGCGATCACCGTCCGCGATGACGAAACCGACAACCCGACCACGCCGGCGGAGAATGTCGGTCAGGGTCTCTCAGGCGTCACGCCGCAGTCCGAATCCTTCGACTGGACCAACAGCTACTACGCCTCGGTCTCCTTCAAGAAGTCCATCGGCTCCCCGCGCGCCTTCCGGCTCTCGGATCAGCAGATCGACCGCATCCGGGCGCAGATCCGCGCCGCTCACCGCCGCGGCCTCAAGGTCCGGTACTGGGGCCTGCCGAGCTGGCCGCGCAGCCTCCGCAACCATCTCTGGGCTGTCCTGGTGCAGGAGGGCGTCGATATCCTGAATGTCGATGATCTGCAGAGCGCGACCCGGCAGGATTGGAGGCCCAAGTTGTCCGATCTGTGGAGTTAGTTAGTACTCACACACTAGGTAATTTTCTTTTTCCTTAGGAGATGCAAGGGAAGGGTCTGAGCTATGTGAAGATGAAATTCGATAGAAGGCGTTTTTTTTAGGGGGGGTTATGGTTTCTCGCGGCTCGGCGTGGCTTTCTTATGATGAGATTTCTTATGGTGATACCCTTTATCTTTTTGGCGATGGGCCCATTGATTGTTTGTTTTGGGTTCTCTTACGTTGCACTTTGTTTTATGACTACGGGATGCTACGCTGGTCTTGATATGGATTGCTTCTTGACAGGCTCGGATTTATTGCGACGGGATTGTTCATGCGTGGGCGGAGGCATGTTGGTTTTTCGTTCTAGACTAGGTTGCTTTTGTGCTTCTTTTTGACTTCCTAGAAAGACGGAGACAAGAGAGAACAGAATCTTCGATAGAGGTATTAGTCTTTAGCTTTTGGCAAACCAAATTTCTTGCTTGAAATTGTGCTAGCTATGGAGAAACCTGGGTGACAGGTAACAATTTGGGTATCATTTGACCAACTCGTGGGTCATGGGGTAAACAAACACAAAGAAAAACGCTTTTTTTGGGAGGCTGGAACACACAAAAAATGCTCACAAGCAGAATAATGCCTCCTCGCCAAACTCCGTGTAGACCGTGCCTTCCTCCCTCAGGATTGCACCTAACCAGTCCTTGGCCGCGGCGAAGTCCGGCGCGCCGAACTTCACTAGCACGAACCCGGCGCGGACCCGAGCCGCTGTGAAGGTCACCTGGGAGTCAAAGTTGGGGGCGGGCTCTGTCGCGGCCGAGCTACTGCACACAGCCGGGGAGGACCAATTGCGGGCCCCAATGCGCGGCAGGGAGGTGAACCGGTTCATGAAGAAATTGGCCAGGTTCTCGAATACGGGACCGTAGAGGATCAATGTCCCCACAACACCGTGCGGATACGTTCGTTCCCGGATCAGATTCGACTGCGCCAGGAGCTCGGGGTCTTGAGCCAGCTGATCCTCATCGAGTTCGCGGTCCAGAATGAGCGAGTCGCGAAGGAGAAGCTTCTTCTTGCCGGACTCGTCAGTCGTCCAGACCTCGTTCTTGCCGCGCCAAAGATGAAAATCCCAGTTCTCTCCGCGCGAGGCACGGCCCTGCGTCACCCAGTCCAGAATACACAGGCTGCTGCGGTGAGGGTCTTTGCTGGAGGTGGGGCCATCGATGGTGAATGTTTGCACCTGCTCGTAACGGCTGTCCTTGTAGGGCACGGCGGGGTCTGGGAGGTAACAGAGGGCGGCCTCTTGGCCAACGTGAACGGTGAGGTGTTGACTGCTCTTGTCGGAAAGAATGTGTTTAGGAGTGCCGCGTTGGCCC